AAGCATGTCTTCCAGCCTTTGGAAAACGTGAACAAGGATGATCCTGGCTTTGGATTCCTTCCTGTAGTCTTCAAAGGCGGGCTTAGCATGTTTGCGTTCGCTCCATGGAATATCCGGGGAGATGTGAATGGAAGTAGGTCTATTCCGGAGACGAGCTGTCGATATCTGGGTGACTTCCGCATCATCAACGGAACTAGGGTATAACTTGGATAGGTCTCGGTTCTCCGTACTACTTTTACTTCAGGTGTCAGGTGACCTGAATCAAGTTGGCGGGCTTAATTACAGCTTCTGGCATGAAGTTCCATGGGCTAATGTCGTCGAGCTTCTTTACTTTGGGGGAATTTGTCTTCGATTCGGAAACATTGCCGTGTGTATGTGGTCACTTAAAGACGAGTTGTGCGCCCTCTATTTTGGTCGACTACCTCGTAGACCTGCATGCAATCGGTGGTGGCTGTGTACCTGCAGGTTCGCCTCTCCTATTAATTTTGGATTCGTTGGGACTAACTGGGGACCTACGTTTCATGGTGCCCTTGGCAGTACTCACGTTCCACTGAATCGTCGCGTCAACATCCTTTCGAGATTTCGAAACAGTTCGTTGGGCGGACGAGACCCTTGTCATGATTATTCCAATCAAACTGCATGTGGTTTTTAGATCTTTTTGGCCGCTGATCGTATTGAAATGCTGATTGGCGTTTGAAGCTACAATTGGGGCCTTTTTAACGAGCTGCTAAGCCACCTTCGTCAGGCTTGAAGTACTACTATCGGGTGGTCTGAAGCATACTCTCCATCATGATTCCGTCTGTTGAGGCGATTTTAGCGTTTGCCATTTGCTCAATCATTGAAACCAGCCTTTCGTCTTTTTAATGTGGCTCAATCACTATCTCGACTGGTGTGATGTCCATACGTACCTCGTGAAACCACAGCGTCTGGTCTGCTATTGTACAACTGCATCACACTTGATTGGAGCTTAGTGCACTTAGGATGAAAGCGGGTATAGCAACTGAAATGTTGGATTCCTGTTCGTGTATTATTCTTGCATGAAAATTTCTCACAGACCTTCATTTGATTGATCGTTACAACCTATTCCATCATTGTGTTTTCTCTGTTGCTGTTCCGGTCGATGACGACCGTTTGACTTCAACTTAACTTAGTGCGCATGGCTGTCTACATGCACGCCGAATTAGCTGGCTCTGAGGTCACTGCGTTGGTCGTATGATGCTTTACGAGGCAGGTTAATCGGCTGTTTCGTGCGCCCAAAGGACGTTCTGAGGTTTGAACAAAAGGATGGAGCGACAGCGGACGCAAGATGTCCGCTGGTTTCTCTGCGATCGACATATTTGGTTGATAACTTGCTACGTACGTATAGTTTGTGACAACCGATGTTCTTGTGCAGCTCAGTTTGAAGATTGCACGCGTGTGTTTCTACGGGCATGTTGCGAAATCGCGTTATGAATATGAAAGGTGACCCGCACATGTTAGATTTGATAGCTGGAGTGCAATACATACCACTCTTTAGTCGTGCTAGAATGGGTGATGACGCAAGTATGTGCGATGAGAATCAGGAGAGTAAGTCAGCGCGAGGGTGGCATCGACCGTAGATTTACTCCTCGTCAAATTTTAGGACGGAGACACACAGTCGACATAATATGGCAGTTTTTCATGACTTGAAAGCGGCCTTCGATTGTTGACCGCACCAGCTTGTGGTATTGCCTATCCGCGAAGTGCGTGCCAGCTAGATTCCTTCACATTCCGAAGCCCCTCTACTATGACTCCCGACGCCATGTAAAAGTTTACGGGAAGCTGTCTCCTGAGTACCCCAAGACAAGTGAAGTTAGCCTGGTTATCGTTTGTCTCCTTTTCTGTCCGACTTTATGGTCGAAATGATCGTGACCGTTCTTTCAGACTGTTCCGGAGTGGAGCTTCAGTTAAGTGACGTGTTGACAACCTTTAGTATGCGGACGACTTATCTCTCTTACGGTCCGGTACAGTTCTATGTCAGGACTACTGGATAAATTGATGCGCAACGCCGCACGCTTCGGTATGTGCTTTACATCTTCAAAGTGCAAAATACTATTGCACGATTGGACCGACATACCTCCGGTTTTAGCTGTCACCGAACAACTACTTGAAGTGGTGCATTGGTTCACTTGCCTTAGTAGCTGTTTCACACCTAGTGGTCACCTTATTGAGAAGATTACTTCGTGTATCAGCAAGGCCCGCGTGACTATTTAGGGGCTCATCTGTCTATAGAGACGGCAGGATATAAGCCTGTCAGTAAAGTATAGGGTGTATAACGTTGCGATAAGGCCGGTTTTGTTCTATAGACCAGAGACGTAACCAGTTCGCAGTAAAGACATTAAACGCCTGACCATGTCGGACCACCACTTTTTGCGGAGTATTATTCGCGACTGGTGGGTACACCGGATCAGTAATATTGAAGTCCTCCAGTTGGTTTTTGGCAAGAAGCCTTCGGATGCCTCACTCGAGTTATGCTGAATCTTAGCCGCTTACTTTCGCTGGGCCATGTCTTCCGTATGCTTGTTGACCGCCTACCTCGATGTGCATTACACGTATGCACGTATTAGTAACATTCCAAAGGAATGGACATAGAGCGGAACAAAACCATGTGACTCGACGGAAGGTGACATGCTGAATCGTCACAAAATCATCATTGCATGTTAGTTGAAGGTGAGCAACACACCTGAGCTATTCTGTTGCAAGAAAGGCGGAACTTTTGTACTTTGCGCACGCCCGATTTTCGTTTTTGGGCTTTTCCAGTTGGTAAACTATTAAACATCTGCAAATAAACAAGTATGCACATTGATCTTCCACTGGTTTCAATTGAGCGCCATATCCTGAATTGTTTCCGCATCGGTATTCCTCCTTTGGTCCCTAACCATACAGACGTGTGGATCCAACGGCCGCATGACGCGAAGTCAACAATTTCATATGGTGTCGCCAGGGGGACGGCTGACCACCGCATGTTCTATTCCAGTCGAGCCTTGCACGAGCGAAAATGGCGCAATATAACAAACGCTCAGCTGACATACGCAGCACGTGACCGAGCCTTCTTAACTGACACAGCAAAACCAGCTTGTTGAGGGGAATACTCGCATTCCCTAAGACACGACGTCTGAATTCACCGTTGAAAACACGTCTTTGCCACCACACACAAGCACTTCTCCTCAAGCACTCATTGTCAAAGTCTCAGAGCCGGCAATGTACTTTTGTGGGACCCCGTTCCCTAGCAAGCAACGCCATAGCGCAGGTAGATCAACTGACTCGAATGCAGCATGGATGTTTAGAAATGTAACAATGGTAGGCATCTGGTTTAGGTGGTTAGGTTCGGGAATTGGTCGGAATGTAAAGATTTGCTCCACACATCCACGGCCAAAACAGGCCAACTCATTATCCTCGGTACTGCGATTCACGAATGGGGGATAATCTACGGAATGATATGAATGCCAATAGCTTGAAGTTAATCGGAATGAGATTGATTCCCCGGTGGTTACCGCAAGAAGTGCGGGCACTCTTCCTAAAAATCGTGATATTCTATCCAGGAAAAAGGCACCTTGACTTCAATGCGGATATTGGAGTGCAGTGAAGTTGGCTGTTTGATTATGACTACGCATCCATAAATGAACAGCACCGGTGGAATTCCGTCTGAGCCTTTAATTGTCTTAAGTGTCGAATCGCATGACAAACTTCCACTTCGCTGAGAGGCTCAAGTGTTACGACCCAGGGCAGGCAGCTGGGTTTTGCAGGATATACAAATGGACGGTGAGGGCCAATTGAAAAATGTGCGACCAAAGAATTCAAGCGTAACCGCAGCTTGACAGTCGGCACGCAACCCGATGCGCAACGACTGCGACTGCGAATAGCGCTCGCCGGCCTGCTTTT